CCCTGTACAATTTTGAACCAATTTCAACAGTGAAATTGAGTTTCATCTCTGCCAATTACAGGAGAAAAGGTTAGTTTATGACTGACACTCAGGCATGGGCGGAGATCCCTGGAGGGGGGAGGATATCATCGCCCACTTTTTGACCTTGGGGATCATTTCCCTACTTTTCGAGTCACTGATGATATTCGCACCTGTAGCCTCCCCCAATTGAAGTGGGACCTTTAGCCCAGTGCAGTGTCACGCTCTGCACAAGGGTGACCTTTCAGAAATCATCCCCCCACATGTGAAAAGAGATCTCCACCCATGCACTAACGCACATTATAATGTCAAACACTCATAACAAGACCACTATTAACACCTTGTCATGTTTGTACCAAGGACAAATAAAAGTTCCTAGTCTTTGTTTTTCTTGCCTGAGCTATGTATACGTTGGGTGCAATCGGCCGATCTGAACGATCAAATGATTGCTCTCTGTACGACAGGTTGATTCTGCTTTAACCCTAACCCTCCTCAATCCTTCACCTGTTGGAGGACTGAGGAGTGTTAGGGTTCAAATCTCAACTTTCACTTCCCGTTTGAAAAATAATCTTTCACAACCATGAATTATAAATTGAAGGAGAATTGGCTGATGGTGGAATTATCAACAAATCATGCAGTGACTTTGACCTATCAAATAAGGATCAAGTAACTGCACGTATCGACCGACCGTGTCCAAGATTAGCGGAGTACCCTGATGTGGCACACTTCAACGTTTAACTTTCTGAATGCAGAGTTGCTAAACCTCTTTGCCTAAAAACTTCGATTTTATTCAGTTAACTGGTAATTTTTTTTAACCATCATGATACATACAGTTGAGTCTTTGTGAATAACTTCAATGTCATAAAATTTATTCCAAAATTCAAAAAGTGTGACATCCAGAAATTTGGGGCAAATTCTGGGAATGGATATGGTAGAAGAATAACACATATGTTTAGCTTCCCTAACATTACCAATGATATCCTCTTAATCTTGTACAACTATTGGAAAATGCCATATTAAGATTTACGAAAACTTCACAAGTCGATAAATTTGGTAAATCACTTTACACTTACCCAACAAGTTCGTAAGAAAATCATTTTCTTATTTTCAGGCGAATTTTAAAAGTGTGCAAGTCGGGAAAAAAAAACAGACCGAAGAATTTGGTTAGAACTTTGCATTGCGTACTTTAACTCAAGATCAGGTTCGGAAAGGAGATATTGGGAGCTTGACAAAATGTCATTCATTGTGAAAACTGAGGTAAAATATTATTCCTGAGCCGGAAACTCGAAATGAGCCACGTTTGGCCCTACGTCTCCTCGCCTCCACTCCAACATGTCCAAGTAGTAGGCCTACAGATACAGCACTTCATGCATACAAGAATCATAGAGCAATTTTATACAGCACTAACTTACAAAGAACTTTGGATGCCTCCCGTATTCGCCTGGCTTAATACCTCTGTCAGTGCCTTTGGCTTCAACATCTTTGTCAGGTTTAGGCAGAACCAGTATCAAGCAAACATCATATCACGGCAGGTTCGGGGAAACACTTGAAAGATTTCTGTCACAATTCAATTTCAATGTCGATATCTGGCAAGTTTTCTCCAGCGGGTCTACGATCTCATCTAGTTAACGTTAGCTAGTTGTGTCTGCACAGTGCAGTACGTCCGTACGCGCGCGCACGCACAGGGGATATGTTGCCTAGACTGGCTTCCTGGCCTACAGAGCTTATCGTGTCACAGGCGCTGTGGTAAAAATAACGTGGATAGGTGTATGTTGGGTACTTTTTTTTAATTTTCCATCAAATATTACAATTGTTGAGGATTTTTTCTGATGATCTGTTTTTTTCTCCATCAAAAATCTTACTTTAATTTGAGTGAAATCTTTTTTTCGTATCCGCCTTATGTTCTGTCACTTGATTTGAAAAAGGAAGAGTAGGCCTATTATTTTGTATGAAAAATACGTTATCTGTCTTTCTTTTTTTCAGATCAGCTGGAAATTTATTACGTTTATGGAAATGCAAAATTTGAAAATCGGCTAATCACTGCTGCAGAAAAAAAAGGATCGGTCGGTGCAAGTTCGCGAGATGTCCTTTGTTTTTATCAATTTCAAGTGGGGATCAGACAAAGTGTTAGACGAGATCGTGAATTGACAAAATGGCCAAAGGTCTCATGATGCACCACGTGACAGTGTTGAGCACAGCCATGTGATTGAAATGTACCGCATTATACATCATATACATGGCATACGAAGGTAGGAGGTAGGAAAACATCAGATCACCCCAGTTGTTGACAGACACATACCCCATATCGATAACAATACATAAGAACTAAAAAACAACCCTGGTCTTTGGAATTTAATACTCAGAGAGGATTTTGTATTAGAACAGGCCTATCAAGAGTCAACTGCACATGTCATGGAGAGCATTACTTACCTCCAAGGCTTTAATGCACTGTCTGTAGATGGAACGTTGGAGAGGAGGTCCGTAACTGAACAGATATAAACGTGATATGAACGCTTGATGTTCACGTGACATGGAGAGTCTCTTTAAAAAGATCAGGTCACGTTGACGAGCGCGTTAAGGTGGATCAGTACGATCTTCCTCTTCTTAGTATTGCAAACAAACTCGTCAAACGGGATATACTGTTGTAGGTGTGTCATGGCCAGTGTATAGTAACAGTGGGCTCCCCTGATAAAAGTAGTCAGATCCATAATGATTAATTTTGTCTGCAGCCTGTCAGCTGTAGTTACTTGTCGTATCTATTGGCAGGAGGTTCCACTCAACTATGGTTCTAGCAAAAATGAGTATTTTTGTAACAGTCCTTTTTGATGGTGGGGTGAACAAAGGAATTAGTTGCAGTTGATTTCCGGGTGTGAATTTTATCGGCGGCTTGTGTGAGTTGATACAGATGATACTTGCCAGTGTTGATGGCTATCGCGATGTATGGACTTAAACAGGAGTGTGAGTCCGGATACAGCCTGGCGGCTTTCCAGTGATTTCTAACCCAGTTCAGTTATCTTGGAGGAGATATACTGAGTCTTTACAGACGAATCTAGCTGATCTACATTGTAATTAACTTGTACTGCTTCCAACGGGTTTTTGTGATCTTGCTTGTATGGGTCCCACACTGAAGCACAATATTCTAGTTTGGGTTGCACTAAGGTTTTGTAAGCTGTTTCTTTAACCTTGCGGGAACAACTGTACAAGTTTCTGCGCAGAAGAGCAAGGACCTTGTTTGCTTTGGTTGCTGTTATGTTTACGTGGTCTGTCCAGTTTAATTTGCTGTGTTGTTCAACGCCAAGGTACTTGTGATTTGTAACAGAATCCCCATTCATATTGTAAAGGTTTGAAGGGTTTCTGTTTATGAGTAATATGCATGACACGACATTTGTTTATATTAAATTTCATCTGCCATTTAGATATCCAGTTGCATAGGATGTTAACATCACTTTGAAGAACCATCACGGGGTCGCTACTACTGAGTACGTCACTGTCACAAAAGGGCGTACCCTGGCTAATCTAGGTAGGGCCTATGTTTGGCACTGGCTGTGACAGTTTTCTCCAAAGTGACTCAAGCTCTTTCTTAAAAGTATATGCAAATCTAGCTGGCATTCAGTATTAGCCCAGGCCTACAGATGTACTTCCTGAAGCTAAGGGAGAGACTCGCTGGGAGGAGAGATTTTATTGTACAAGTACAGGCATTTTTCGTGTTTGATGCTGGTTTGATGATCTTTAGAGTGTAATAAGCTCTTGTATTTGTGCTTGTAGTGGCAGCTATAAGGAGCTGAAAAAAAATTTGTGCATGATCTTAAATCCTGAGTCCTCTCTTGCTTGTCTTTATTTTTTAAGAGAGGGAGACTAGAGAAGTATATAGATCCTGAGTACTTCCAAAACTGTAAGGCTTGTACATGTACCTTAGGTCCAGGGATGGAGACATTCAGAACTGCTGGTAAGGTAGGCAGTGGTTTAGCTAGGATTTTCCTTGGGGGGGGGCCCATGGGGGGCACCACCATCTTACAGGGGGGCACCAGCCTTCAGTGGTGTAGTAGTTGGGGGGAAAGCTTTTGTTAGCCTTTTTCAATATCCATTCAACCGTTTTTTTTTAGTGGAGTGGGCACCTGGGCCCCCCCTCCCACTACAAAAAATGGATTACATGACTACACTTTGTAAAACAGCACTAATTTGATGCATTTTTTTATTTGAAGGTAAAGAATATGAAGCTTTGTGAAATGCAGTCACTGAGAGCTGTTGGCTGTCATCGAGCCATCTTTGGTATTGCCTTCATCAGTTACCTGCTATCAGGGGTTACCCTGACATCTGGTATGCAATGCTCTGGTATTGCTTCATCTTTCCGCTTTGATTGCCACCCTGAAGAGGACGCAAGTCAACAAGAATGCCAGCGACGTGGATGCTGTTGGCTGGCATCCAAAAACTTGGACGAGGGCGTTCCCTACTGTTTCTATCCATCAGATTTCCCGACCTACCAGATGGGCTCACCGCAGCAAACAGCATTTGGTTACACTGTGATGTTAAAACGTACTACCAAAAGTTACTATCCAAATGATGTGATGCAGCTTCAAATGGATCTTTACTTTGAGACTAGCTACAGATTACACTTCAAGGTAATACATGACGTCCAGTAGATTAATTATATCCGTCCATAAATGCATGGAAACAGCTGAAAATTTGGTTCAGCTCTTTCCTTTTTTCTGAAATGTTTCCTGTTATGATGATGCATTTACCCTGCCAAGGTGAAGATGTCTGGTGCATCTTGATACGCTGAGTAATCAACAGCAGCCAAACAAACTGGCCATGTTGAGACAAGGGAGCTAGTCCCATTGAACAAATGCCACTGTTGGATCTTGTGGTGACTTGCAACCACAGACTCCCAGGCTGTTTGGCTTTTGGGAGAGTGGACCTTTTGGATCTTGTTACACTGGGCAGCAAGCCACTTTGACAAATGATGCAGACTGATGTGTCTGTCAGGGTTTCTAGCCAAAGTACCCTGAGGGTTAGGGTTAATGCAGAGAATGCATGCATTGTATCTACGTTACCTTTGTGTGTATCAAATTTCTTCAATTTCAGATATACGACCCCAAGTCTAAACGTTATCAGGTTCCCGTCCCTACACCAAAAGTCAGCAAGCGAGTGCCATCAACAGACTACAAAGTGCAATTCTTATGGTCTCCAATGGGCTTAATTGTCACCCGTCGAGTGGATGGTACCGTAATGTGAGTTGTGATAAAGGATTTTATCTGATTGTGCCACCAGCATGGCAGTAATTGATGTTTGACAGAAAAGAGGTTTTAATTTTAGAAATCTCAACGGAATCATTCTACTGCGCTCTGAGCATGGAAGTCAAGTGCTAAATGGAATTGAAAGCATGTCCTATGTGTGTTACCATGGCAACACCATTGGCCCTTGGGTTTGTGTCCACAAAGTGACAAGTCCATGAGTTACGTAATCTTTTATGAAGGCGTGCCCAGCAAACACAATGAAATTGTGCATTTTCAATTCAGGATGGCCCTATTGTAATCTCAACAGGGCAACTGTTCTTGGTTTGACTGCATCACCAACTGTCGCGGCAAGAATAGACACTGTAATGCCCGTTGGAGCCTCTAGAATTTTACAGCGCACAATGGATAGACTTACCTTGCTACCTGAACATAAAAACAACTTCCTTCCAAAAGTGGTAGCCTTTACACCCTGAAAAAGAAACAATTGCCATTCAGCTCATCTGTTGTTTCAGTTTATTTGATTTTTGTAGTTATGCTTTGTGATACAATATTTTATTTTCTATCTTTTTATTTGCAATTTTACAGATTCAACAGTACCCTAAGTCCCTTGATTTTTGCAGACCAGTTCCTTCAACTCTCAACCAGCCTGGTCACACCATACATCTATGGTCTTGGAGAACACAGAGGTCGTTTCAGGGTTGCTTCAGATTGGGAGACCTATCCAATGTGGTCAAGAGATCAACCCCCTCATGTACATTTTGCATTGACCTCAAAATTTACACTGCATTCAAGTATAAGACCAAGGAAGCAATAAACTTTTTTATCGTTTCTGTGTGAAATAATAACCATTTCTGTCAAGTAGTTAAACACTGACAAAATTTTGAAATATTTCAAGTTACTAAGTTTTGTAAATGTTAATGTATTACAAAATTTTAGATGCATTTTTACAGTCAGTGTACTGAGAATATGCTCTTGTTTATTCCAGCCAACATCTTGATATATCAACAATTACCTCAATTTTTTTATGTTTAAAACGTTACTTTTTTCCTCCAAAATGCGACCCAGTTTAAACTGTCCATTTCAAGCCAGTTTATAAATTGAATGATGTGCCCAAACATCCTTATTGGGTTTTCCTCAATGCAGGTTGGTGATAATTTGTATGGAGTGCATCCGTTCCACTTGGGTCTTGAGGGCAGTTCAGGCAACTCCCACGGTGTCTTCCTTCTCAACAGTAATGCCATGGGTAAGAAATGTCTTCCCTGACCTCAATGAGCCACTCAAATGCACCCAATCTGTGCACACCGGTGTATTCACTTTCAGTGTGTAGTACACGTAACTTGTCTTAATGTGCACTAATAACAAACTTCTAGGTTGGGCATGTTGGTGCTACACATAGGCAACAGGGGTCAGTCCAATCTCTCTCTGACACTTCTGAAATGATACTTGTGTATGGAGCATATCGTTGCTAGCTTGCGGAACAAGGCTCTCATTATTGGAGTACATGGTAAGTACGGAGCAAATAACATGTGACATACATGTACTCTCAGCCAATCAAGCATTGAACCTGTAAGTGAGGTGTCATAATCCTTCATTTTGATGTCTTTCCTATTTTTGATTGTCCAATCAGAGGTCGTGCTACAGCCTGCTCCAGCACTCACCTACCGGACCATCGGTGGGATTCTGGACTTCTATATCTTCATGGGTCCCGGATCGGACCAAGTTGTCCAGCAGTACACCGAGGTCATTGGTCATCCATTTATGCCTCCTTACTGGGGTCTTGGATTTCATCTGTGTCGCTGGGGTTATGGATCATCAAACAGGACCTTGGAGATTGTCAAACGGATGAGAGCTGCTTCAATTCCACAGGTATTTCAATTCAAAATGGGTTTTCAGGACTTAGGTATGAAATGGCCTTGCTGGTCCTTTATACAGTTTATGAGTTTTCTTGAGTACTGTCAATGATTATAAATGGGTTTGTGAAAGTTCATGACTATACTTCTATTGTAATTGCATGAGTGATAAATTCATGGACTTTGAGAAATGCAAAAGCTTTTTGCTTGACCCAGTAAACAAAAAATGTTTCCAAATGGATTTGGTTTACCTTGTATACAAAATTTGAGGATGTTGTTATATTTCAGTGTTGATGTGTAAATTTTTGTAATCAGCAGCACTCATGAAAATATTACTTCCAATTTCCAAACCTCTTCGGTTTAGCTTGAATTCACTTTTTTCCTCCAAATTTGGCTGTTTTATTGAATTTCTGAACAAGACGGAGGCACAAATAACCACTGAAAATAGTTGATTGATTTAACGATGATGAGCTTGAACTTTAATCTCGTCTTGACCAAGTATAGTATGCCAACTGTCTGATGACATAAAAATATAAAAACTAGACTGCAGAATTGTCTATTCAATGGTTTCTAAGCTGGTAAGTCACTACGGATACTCTGGAAGAGTGGTTGGAAATTTTTGTATTTAGGCAACTGAATGTTTTGGGCTTAATCTTTAAAAACGCAAAGAAAAGGTTTTGTTTCTGCCTGATTGACTAAGATAGAGCAGGCACAAGCAACAAGAAGTACATTATCATCGTAATGTATCATTTATGTTTGTAACTCGCTTGCTTTTTCTGTGCACACGTCTGTTGGATAGGACACTCAGTGGAACGACATCGATTACCTAGATGGACGAAAAGACTTCACGATCAACAGCGGACCATATTCAGGACTGCCTGAAATGGTCAAGTATCTTCATTCCATTGGCATGCATTATATTCCAATCATAGTAAGTTGAATGGTAACGCTAACTATTGACGTTTTTGTACTGTTGTGCTGTGTTAAGAGACCTTTCTGACTACCAGAATAAGAGGCCTATACTAAGATGGTAGCTCACTTGACCACAAGTGTGTAGCCAACGCAATTGTGGCATCTCCAGATATGTAAACCCTAATGCAAATAAAATAAAAAAAATAAAAATAAAGTTGAATCGCCAGCTTTGTGCGTACGCTGCTGGAATACTGAACTGGCACCTTGTACCCATGATGACCTTTGGCATCATGACTTTCAATCTGACATTTAAACGTTTCCCTCTAGAGTAAGCCTTTACGTTACAAAAAAGAACAAAATTGTTGCAACCTTTTTGCCTCAGTCATACACATTAATCATTTTACCCCTTTAGCTTTTCAATGCCATGATCAATTGAGTCTTTACAATGTTTTTTCTTCTGCGTTCATTCATGAATTGTTCACGTTCTGGTTTTCAGGACCCAGCTATCTGCAGTACTCAACCTGCTGGGACATATCCACCGTATGACACTGGTATCGCACAAGATGTGTTCATTAAAGACAGCAATGGAAAACCAATTGTTGGAAAGGTGAGAGAGCAAGACAGCATGGATGTGTACATGTGGTGTTCCTCTTATGTTGTCCTTAGACTGACGTGCAATTCTCTTGCGTAGTGATGGAACTGTTGACACCAAAGTGAAATAGTAATGCTAAGGTCGCAGAACTGAAACTTTTGACAAAGTGGCAACTTTATACAGGTCAATGGCAGTTGATTCCACCTTGTCTGGAAAATGTTAGGAAAGTTGACTTTTGTTGAGCCCTTTTTTCTAAATATCACTGCTGCTAGGCTCAGGATGCGAACAAATCACTAATTTGTTGCCAACAGTTGAACTCTGGCAAATCTTGGTCCTGAAATGTCACTCGCCAACATTTCCGTGTGATTTTTGGGTCAACCTGATGAGGGCAGATTAATCGTAGTGACGTTCAACCAGGTACTTGTTGTTCACTCTTCTAATATAAATATCAATCCATTGTGCTCAGTTCTGACCACCAAAGAACCACTTTTGGTTGAAAGACCCATTCTTTGGGAACAAATTCCATAGTCACGCACTGAATGCAAGTAGAGTCCCTTTTTGTCTGCTATAGAAAGACTAAACAAGTGTACAGGTTTTGCTTTTTCATGTATGTAGAAGTTTGCTAGTCAAAGGACCAAGTACAGTAATGCATTTTGTAATTAGGGGTTGCAAATTATCATAAGGTGTTGCTTAAATGCAAGTAACTTTGCTAAAAGTGACATTTTTGTGGAAAGATCTAAAGATTAAGGCCGAGGATTGTAGATCAAACTATAATTTGTTGTTTCACATTTCTTATGCTTCTATTGAAGGTGTGGCCGGGTTCAACTGTATTCCCAGACTTCTTCAACAACAAGACCAAGAGCTGGTGGCTTGATCAAATCAGGAATTTCCACGGCAAAGTGCCCATTGATGGACTGTGGATAGTAAGTTGTCGACTTGCTGCTGTGTTGTTTTAGTAAAATAATTTTGTGAATTTAATGACCAGGTATATATGTCACAATGCTGCCTAACTCTTTAATTGTAACTCAAAAGTCTTAATCTGTAACCAGATTTCTTTCATTCGAAAGCCACATGGCAAACTGACCTGTCCCGCTGAAAGTTATGGGGGGGCGGAAAAAGTTGGCCTGACTATCTGCCCCAAGCAGGATCAAGAGAGGGTTCAATTTTCTTAGCAGCGGAAGTTCCTTCACTGGTTCACAAATGACTATAAAATGCACATGTTACGGTCACATGGCTACCAAGAAAATGAACACTCCCCACGAAGATGGCTCTTTTCAACTGGTGACGGGTTGCTTCTGCTCAAGACGGATAATCCTTGAGGAGATATAGTTGTCATCAACTGATTATTTCACAAACAAATTTTTCACTCGGAAGTTTGTGCCCAGATGAGGCAAGATGGATGGTTTGTTTGGTGGGCATGAAGAGATTAGCCCAAAATGTTACAAGATCTACAGCATCCCCCTAAGACTCATTTGTTTTGTATAATGTTAAACTTTCATCGCGCATATCCAACCATTTATGGGTCCTGAATTTCATCTTGGGTCCATCATGCAGAGGATTTGGGTAAATTCAAGAATAACATCTTCATTTAATCAAATCTGTTGCTGGTTGATTGTTTAGGATATGAACGAGCCTTCTAACTTTGTGGATGGTTCTGTTGATGGTTGCTCTACGGATCCGTACAACAACCCACCCTACACTCCAGCTAGTATGTATATTTTTGTATAAACCTAAATGCCTCTTTGAATTTATCACTCATGTCACAATCTCTAAAACAATTGTTCAGTGGTTTTAGGTATTTTTTAAGATGTGGTTGTTTTAGGTTGTGGCTGTGATTATCAATCCAGTTGCCTCTGACTGACACAGCTTATCACTGGCTTTATTAGTCTTTCAACTTGATTCAAACTACTTTAATAACTGTTTTAAGGCAGGGAGTTGCTTACCAAAATACTTAGCCACCATCTTATGGTAAATATTTGAATATTCACATGTACCAGTTGAGTTCATGACAAATCCCAAAAAGTCCCTTTAAGTCCACCATAAGTCATGCACCCTCAGTTCACAAGCTGTTCAAATGAACTGCGACAAAAGCATGATTTGGGTCATGGTTCACCCTGTTATTTATGACTGGTCTGGCAAAGGGACTTATAACTGGACTTGTGACTGGACTTGTAAAGGGACTTGTGACTGGACTTGTAAAGGGACTTGTGACTGGCCTTGTGAAGGGACTTGTAAAGGGACTTGTAAAGGGACTTGTGACGCGTCTTGTGAAGGGACTTGTAACTGGTCTTGTGAAAGGACTTGTGATTGGTCTTTTGAAAGGACTTGTTATGGACTCGACTACAACACTGAAACAAACATGTGAATGGATTTACCTGGCAAACAACCCACAATGGCCCATGTAATCATCATTTGACTGTGCCACCCATGGTTGCATTCGTACACGGGGCAGTCCTGACTTGAGGATAGTCATGTGTGCTGTGTCAAACAAGTTGAGATGGTGGGGACAAGGTTTAGCCCAAGTAACTAGTGGTAGCCAGCTGATCGTACCTTATATGTGAAACACTGGATCCACTCCAGAAAGACAAGCCAGCCACTCTATTGGATGGGCGTATTTAAAAATCATTTTGCCGTTTTGTTGTGTGTTTTTTTTTCAGCACTACTTGGGGGCAAGCTAGATTCAAGGACCCTGTGTGCTTCCTCCACCCAGGCTATCGGCAAGCACTATGACCTCCATAGTCTTTATGGATATTCAGAATCCATTGCCACAAACGAGTAAGAGTAATCCTAGTTAAAAGTTGAGAACACAGTCCTGATGAAGCAAATTGCATGCTACTTATTTTGCAGCAAGGAATGAAATCCATTCTGTCTTGTGTTTCACCAGGATTTTTGCTCAGGAGTGGGCAAAGCCCTTTTTGTGGTGGTGGGGGGGGGCACTCGTTGACAATGAACCGATGAATCACTAACAGTAAAAGTGGGTAGATGTTGAGTTTTTACTCATATTTGTTTCACAGTTTCATCCCCGTTCATCTCTTTCTGTATTTCTGTCTGTCTTCCTTTCTGTATTTTTCAATTTTTTAACGGAGGAAGCCCCCCATGCCCTTGTATTCATGCCTAAATTTGACTCTCCATTTGGTCTCTCAAGGGCTCTGGTGGAAGTACGCAATAAAAGAAGTTTTGTCATCTCAAGATCAACTTACCCAGGGAGCGGCAAATACACTGGTCACTGGCTGGGAGATAACTATAGTCTATGGCCAGACATGGCTTATTCTATAGCAGGTCAGCATTGTCATGCACAGTTTGGGATCACTTACAGAATATTCTGATTTGTCTATTTATTTTATAAGGTGGCCTTACGTGTTATATCTATTTTAGGCCGCTGTTGTCCGCAAGCAGTTTTCAGGAGGGTTTATATATTTCACAGTTTGTGATAGTGGTCTTTTATTGAGATCAATGATGTCCAGACATTTTGTAGAAAGCAAAATTGAGATAAGCACTAATTGGAGTGAGTGTGTGGTTCAGAGAGATTCACAGATTACGGCAGAAACTTTAAATGGCTTTTACACAAACACAATTTGAATCGAGCAATGAGTTATTCAAGATCCTCATGGTACATGTACTGAATTTAAGTTTCTGAAGGGAACAGTACTAAAGATTACTCATAAACAAAGCACGTGATGACCAGGCAATCTTGCAAATATAAATGTATCATTTGTGTTTTAAATGGTTCTTCCAACAGGCATTTTATCCTTCAATTTGTTTGGCATACCTCTGGTTGGCGCCGATATATGTGGCTTCAACCTTGATACAACGGAAGAACTTTGTCAGCGATGGATGCAGCTAGGGGCTCTCTATCCATTCTCTCGCAATCACAACACACTCGGAGCTAAAGTAAGACAGGGCCATTATAAATTCACATTTTACAACAGTTTTACATTAATTTATATTAGGTTATTCAAAAATAATCTGAAATAAAGTTATCTCCATTTTTTCTTGGCTTCTTATACCACACCCTTTTAAGAAGTTACAAGTAATTCATTCTCATATCAAAACAAGTAGCTCATTGTCCATATAGAGAATTTCCTAGAGCTGCTTAAGCATAAAATTTGGTTAAAGTGTGAAAAGCCTTGCTTGATAAATCAGATTACCAGCCAAAACTTCTTGTGATGTATATCGTTTTGGAATGGTATCTAGCTGTCTTTTGGTTAGCATGACAATTACATAGAGTTTGAGCTGGTAACCTTTGTTTTTTAGCAAGTTTTTTTCGTGCTTAAGCAGTTTTTTCTCCTGTGAAATTGGCTCCTGGTTTTAAACAGCTAAGCCATTGTTTTATGGGTGGATTAATGTTTTAACCCTCCCAGGTGATAAGGGTTTTTAATGGATAATCCTTCAAAATGATTAAATTTTGTTGCTGTGAATTTGACTCCAAACATTTTCTTCACAGGATCAGGATCCAACTTCGTTCAGTCAAGATATGCAGACTTCAACCAGGAATGCTCTTCAGCTACGCTACAGCCTCCTGCCATACATCTATACCCTGTTCCACCTTGCACATACCCAGGGCTCCACTGTGGCCAGACCTTTGTTCTTTGAGTAAGTATGAAGTGTGTTTGAAATGGGCTGTACACGTTGACTCATTGCTCACTTAATGCCGACTTGGGAAAGTTTAGCTCATTTCATGTAAAAAGTTCCAGTCAATTATTGTAGTTGTCTACCTGCATGAAGTCCTTTAAGAAGGTTTCTTATGCTTGACACCTGATTTTCCTTCAGTTCGATGTTTAACAGGACCCCTTAAGACCATCACAAGACCACACATACCTGTTTTACGTACAAAGTGTGGACATTCCTTTATTTTCCTGTGGTTAAGGAAACTT